CCCGCTATTTGCAGATTTTTGAATTGAGCTAACGATTTTTGTATATTAGAGATCAAATTAAACAGATTCTTTATATATTAGATAGATATATGGCGTAAGAGGGTGTTGAGTTCAAACTATGACTGTCTGTTTTTTCTTGGAATTAGGCGAAATAGATAACCAAATGGGTAGGAGTGTCGGAGCTAGTCGTTCAGCCGAAATTGAGGGGGAGCGATTTGTTTCCACCTATATTAGCGGCCAGAAATTGAGTACAACATTTCTCACCGTTCTACATTTCTTCACCTTTAAGAAGTGGCCATATAACAATAAATGTAGATTTGCATACCGTATTGAAGCCGAAAGAGCATTATTTTAATTCCATCAAGCGCTGATAAGAATCACGGTAAATAACCCATTTCAGAGTCCCGGCATGTACTTTTAAGCGACAGAAAACAAGGCGGTGTGATCATTGGTATTTTGTCTGTGACTGATTTCATACGAGTAATTCTGAAAATATTTCGGTAAGATAGCTCTCCATTTTATGCTGTGTTTCTTTATATTTCCTTTTTTCTTTGTCATATTTTTCGTGTCCGTTTTACCCATTGACGTTTCCAGGGACCAAGACCTCGCTCATTATCATAGATTTGATGCTTTCAGCTTGATAACCATCAGAGAATTTCGTGGTAAGTTTGTTCTCTGAATTGTAATCTCTTTTTCTAAACCCCCTCCTTCAGAGATCGCTTTCAAAGCCGGGAAGTTGAGAAGTTTAGTGTCTATTAGTGCCACGGACAAGTAGGAAACAATTAAACCACATTTGCTAGAGGTTTCATTCCATGGTTTCAGTCTTCTGGATGTTGTGCGCACTTTATCTTCTCACCGAGTCCATCGCATTCCTGTATTCGATCCAGAAACTGGAAATCCAATGCATCTACTCACTTATAGGCGTATACTGAAGTTCATGTGGACTTTTGTGAGTTCTTTTGATGGAGCCAGCAGAAAATAAAGCTGAATTTTAGGGTCAAACGCTCTTCCCTCCTGATTATCAAGTTCGTACTCCCAAAGAGCTCGATATTGGCACCTGGTCAAATGTTCACTTTGTATGTCCTTCTATCATTTGCTCGTTTAGTGAACATATCTCCTTGTTCCAGGTCTATCCCGAGACGAGACTCATTGAGTGTTTGGATCTCCTTCTTGACCACAATATCTCAGGAGTACCTGTTGTAGAACGGAATACGCAAAAGTGAGTCTTGCTATGCTCATTTTTTCTTATGTTCCTATCATTTTTTGCAGAGTTGTAGATGTCTACTCACGATTCGATGCTATTGGAATTGCCTTACATGATGACGAATTCACCGGGGATACTACCGTGAAAGAGGCTCTCGATTTCAAACACATATGTCAGGTATGGACGTTAGTAGTATTTTTTCGTGGTTTCCTGGTCCTGGAGAAGTTTTCTTGTTTGTCTTACCCTGGTTCAGTTTAAGTTTTGGCGTTATTCATATGTTACCGAAACTATCTGTGAGCAGAAAATTTGTTTGTATGGAAATCGCGACTTTAATTCTGCAATCGTGAAGAACACATCTACTAATATTGCGCATAGGCATTGAGGCATCATGGTTTTAAGTGTTTATCACCTCATTGAATATTTTTAAAAGCTTCGCCTCGTGGCAGCTTGATTAGAAGTTTTGCTACATAATAATCTCCCAAAAATCCATTTAGGGCGGACGTGAGCGCGTCGTTTCTGTCAGAGAAACGGATCCGTTTCTGTTTGTCGTCTCTACTCTAGTCGACCACAACGTACATCGAGTCTGCGTACTTGACGAGAACCAGGCTTTGCTGGTATATTTTGACTTCAATAGCTTCTGTCCCGAACACGGGACATTTCAGGGGGTGATCTCGCTTTCGGATGTAATGGACGCCCTTGTCGTGCAACCTGCGAAATTTCTACGCGCTCCTACTGCTTTGAGACATGTTTCGCAAGAATCGTTCGACCTTTCCAATATGGTAACCAGTCTTTTCCGCGTTAGTTTGAAATTAAGTTTACTATTTAGGAACTTTATATGCGCTCACTCCAAGAGGGTGAAGAAGAGCTGGACGAGCTTTCCAAG